GATCTCTTGCTTAGGTCGCTCGCGCCGGGCGCGCTTCTTTTGTGTGTTGATCGTGGGCGGCGCTTCGTCCGAGCTCGGGCTCGACGGCACCGGGTCGACCGACGTCGTGGGCGAGCTCGGGCCAAAGTCAGACATTGTTGCAAGGAAGGCCGAGATATGCTCCATGCTCGTGGCCTCGTCGTCGTCCGGAAACACCTCGAGGATCTCCATTGCGTACGTGTCGGTCATCGCCGATGCTGCTGTGGCAGAAGCGGTGACTTTGCTGTTTTGCCGAATTCGATGAAATAAGCAGCGACCATCATTCTCGCGCCAGGGGATTGGCCGATGACGTCGCCCACGTGGCACAAGGCGATGACGCGTGCGTCGGGGCGTCGTAATCGCGTCGCGTTGTCTGAACGGATCGCACATCCAAGCGGTGCGATCGCAGACTCTACGGTGCCCCACTGACGCCACACCACCGACGACACGCAGGACAATATTGTACATTGGTCTGTACGCGATCTAACCTCGCCAGCCCCAAGGGCTCGACGCATCGACAAAAAAGATGACCGAAGCGAGCTTCGATGCGCAGCCACCCAACATTCAGAGGATGATTGATTGGCATGGCTGCGACAAGGATAGGATGTGGACGTCTGGCTCCAAGGTCGGTGGTACAGTAGTAGGAGTCAATGAGGTCGAAGCGCTTTGGCGAAGCATGTCGGGTCTTTCGCATGTTACTACACTCGCGAGCTGCGGCGGGTTTGGTTTGTTCGCCGAGGGATGTTCCTGTTGCGCCTATCCTCACGGACGCAATAAGCTCTTCCACCACTTGGGAGAATAATGTCGATTCTGCAGGGCGTACTATGGATTGTGAGTCCAGCGACGTCCGAGACGTGTCGGCTGCTACGTTCCTTCCATTGCTTCGCAGTGTTACACGAGGCGCCGTCTTCTCCACGCAGCTAAGCGTCCTTACGAGCTTGTGACGACGGCAGAAGATACTCCTCGATCTGATGTGTCGTCGGCTCGTGGTCGAGCAAATGCCACCACACAACTCAATGCCCCTCCAAGGTACACTAGAATTGTACCAGCCCAGCGGGGACCGCGAGATTATCGTCAGCGCCCTGCGATGTCATCGTCTTGTCTCCAGTCAGGCTCCGCCACATCATCACGATCCGGCCTACTAGCTCGTGGAAGCGGCCCAGGCAATCCTGCGTCTCCAGTACGAACGCGGAAACGTCGCGTGCGTGGATGAGATCTCTGTATCCACGTTCAGCTCCAACACCAAGCCCTAGAGCCACGACGTACCGCATGCTGATTGGGTGCCCATTTGTGTCATTCGTTCTCGACACCAACGACAACAACCCGAGGCGGTACGGCGATGCTTGACGTGGCTATGAAGTACTTTGCAACAGCTTGGGGTTTTTGACGTCAAGATTTGGCTTGAAGCGGAAATGCTGCGTGAGCCCGCCGACGGGATACTCGGCGTCCTAGCAAAAGTACACCACTGAAGTTGCCGACGTTCGTCTGCTCCATTTTTGTGTTAGCCGTAAAACGACTCTAGCAAACCTCCGCATGTGTAGTAGAGTAAGTGACTAGAATAAACCGAGTTGCTCCCTGCGCTCGAGGACTGCGGCCTGAACCACAGCGCCCAAGGCGTCTTTGCTCGCGTGCGACGACTGGACGAGGCGGTCGGTCCACGCCGCTACCTCGGTCGCACTGGCGCTGGCTGGAACTGTCGGTATATTCGTTGTCATGCTACACTGGACACTGCACTCGGACGCAGTCGTTTCCTCGACCACGAGCCTACAACCCACAAGGCACTCAGTGGACTATTTCACATACAGTGGCTCGCACCAGCCCCAGCGGTGACCAACGAGATGATCGGTGCCATGGGCCATGATCGTCTCGTCTTGCCCCACGCTTCGCCACACCATCACTACCCGGCCTGGCTCGTGGAAGCGGCCAAAACAGTCGTGTGTCTCCATGACGGGGACATGGAGGTCGGCGTAGCGTGTGAGCTCTCTATGCATGAAGTTGTTGCTACGGAAAGAAAGTAGCTGGTAGGTACCGCATATAGACAATATTGTGGTCGATCGTGCGGTGTACCTAGTCAGAATATAGATATGTGACGTTGGTGAGGCTAGAAGAGACGGGTACCGAGCACGACGGGCCGAGCAACCCTGTCTTGTGCGTCCAAAACACGTGGGCCATCGACGTGTAGTCGAGCGGTGCGATCATTTTAGCCACAAAATGAAAGCTCGCAATCGCCCCGTCCTCGGTGCTGCGCTCAAGCGTCGTGTGCCGCAATGGCGTCGTCCCGTCGTAGAGCCGACGTTGAATCCACTCGGACTCCATCTTGTCGTATTGTCGCTGCAAGAGACGCTTGAACGGCGTCGTGTCGTCGTCCTCAGTGTGGATAGTAGGGTCACGGGACAAGAGGCGCGGGCATTTCCGCAAGCTGCGCTCGAGTGCAGCGAGAACCTTGCGCTGCTCGTTCACGAGGCGCTTGAGGCGACTGTTTTCTTGCAGCGTTCGCTGGGCAGCCTCGGCCTGACGCATCGCACGCGCTTGCCACGGCGTGAGCGGTCTCGGCGGCGCGCGCAAAAGCTGGAGGAGCTGCAGTTGGCGCTGTAGCTCCATGTGCTTGGCGTGGAGGACCTCGATCTCGTGCTTGGGCCGAGCATGCTTCTTGGCCTGGGTAGCGCTGTCGTCGTCCGAGCTCGGGTTGGACGATGGCGTGTCAAGCGACGAGCCGAGGCCAAAGTCGGGCGTGGTGGCAAGAAAGGCCGACATGTGCGCCATCGCATGGACGTCGTCGTCGTCGGCCAACGTCGCATCGTACGTCGACCACGTATTCATTTTTGTTGGAAAGAGAATTAGGAAATGTAAGTGTACTAAACTATTGATAGACACATTGCGCGTGATCACGTGGGACTCATGATGGCTCATCATTGTTGGTCATGCCCATGCAGATGGATTTGAAGGATTTGGTTGCAAGAAAACGATTCGACCAACTGGCACCACGACAGCGAACCCCGACGTTCGCACGGCCGGTAGGTTGGTGATGCACCAACAACCATTGGACTGGTACGAGTACAAAACTCATCGTGGTCATTCCACAGCGCGCTCCGCCACGACTACTTCTTACACCAAGTGCGCAATCCGACACATTGACCGCGCATTTTTACGTTCAACCAAGGCCATAAAATGGCCCAACGCACAATATATTGGTAAGCCGACCGCACTCGTCGCTCGCACACTCGACCGCTCAATCAACGTACATTTGTACAACATCTCGCACCACATTGTTGCGAGGAACGACCGAGCATCGGCCCAGAAAAGCCTGCGCACCGTAGCGGAGGCAGCGAGTTGGCTCTTGTACAGGCACGGCAAGGAGCGGTCTTTCACGTTCAAATGGATTCAAGATCGATGGGTCGCCGAGGTGGAAGCGAGGAGGCTGACCCTGCTGCGAGAAGAACCCAGCTGTGTTCGACTAGGATTTGTGCGGTAGAATGTGCGAGCGACGTAAGAAATAGTGCGGTCGCTGTAAAATATTGTGCGGTAAACGAATGCACGTGATGTCGTTCCTGACTCTGGCCACGAATCCCACAGTCACTTGGTGCCTTAAGGCGCCCAGAGCTGCAGGTCAGGACGCACGCGCTGCCGCCGCATATGACGTGGCGACTGTTGCGGGTTGAGGCCAAAGAAGAATATCATGCAACTCGAGAGACCGTCACGGTCGCTAGCACCACCACGCGCTGAGATAAAGACGCCGAGCTGCTGCCGTGGTCAAGAACAACAAGTGAACCCAATCGTGATTGCGCCGGCGACATGTATCGTCTGCGACAAGGGACTAGGATAGGATACGTCATTCGACCAACATGCAGGATATACCGTGCGGACGCATATAAATGATGCTGGTCGAGTTATCGCGATGCCAGTATACAAACAAGGCTTTTGGTCTATAGAAATGTCGTTTTCAATGGTACAGTATTACGCCTGGAGGGCGATTTGGCGGCTCATGACGGCAGCGAAGAGCGCCGCACTAAACTTTTCGGTGAGCTCGTCCGAAGCGCGCAAGAGAAGCTCCGTCCATGAGCCAATCGCCGGCTGCCGTTCGGGCACGTTGGCTGGAAACAGCGGCGTTAAAATCACCGCGTGGGACGAGATGTAGCACTGGTGCGCGTCCACTGGATGCAACGTGACCCTAGTACGGTTTATTCATAATCTTGTCCACCGCCAACAATCGTCATTTCTTCCCGTACCAGGTCACACGGTTGTCAATGAGATGGCCCTCTTCATGGGGCAGCAAATGGTCGTCCACGATCGACCGCCACACCATCACCGTGCGGCCGTCTTCTTTGTAGCGGCGAATGGCTGCGCGCGTCTCGAGTATTGGGATGGCCGGGTCGGCAAGCTTGATATCTTGCCTAGTATTTCCATCCAAATCAAGAAGACGTCGTCGCAATCAAGGGATATCGCTCTTAGGTCGGTACCGTGTGTAGACGAGGTCGCTGTGAAAGGTTTGGAGCAACTAATGTCCAAAAGATGACAATATCATCCAACAAATACGTCGACGTACGGAGCACGACGCGTCCAGCGGCGTCGTCACGTGGGTCCACAGCAGATCGCTCATTTCGTCGAGACTCAGCGGAATGAGGCCGCCACGGACAAAGCTGATGCGCATCCCGACGTCCGCGCTATAGTCGACAAACGTCTTTTGGACCGTCTCGCGCTGTGCAATCGCGTCGTGCAAGCGGTGCCGAATCCACGCCGACTCGAGCTTGTCGCGCTGGCCCTGCAGCAGCAGCTCCAGATCCGACTCGCGCGAGGACGTGCTCAGAACAGCCTGCTTCCATAGCGCGTGGCCATGCGTCGTTGAAAACGTCGAGAGCTTGGGCTGTTTTTCCAAGACGCGTTCAAACGCCTCGACAAACTGTAGTTGGGTCTCGACGGCCTCCTTGAGACGGTTGTTTTCCAGCATCGCCCGCTGAGCACAGCGCGCCTGCTGGATCGCGCGGCCCTTCCACGCGCTGCTAATCGCTTGCTTGGCTTGGTTCTCGTGCATGTGCTTGAGCTGCCGGCGCAGCGACTTTTCCTTGGTGCGAAGGTACTCGATCTCGGCCTTGGGGTTGGTGCGCGCCCGGCGCGGCGGCTTGGCTGGCGCGATCGCTGCGGCCGGCGGCGGCAATGGATCAGTCGAGAGGAAGGTCGAGAGGAAGCCCATGGACGCGCTATGGCCTTGGATGATCTCAAGGATCTCCATCTCTTCCGTGAACGTGAGCTCGTTCATGCCACCGGCGGTCTGGCACGACCTCGCGTCAACAGCAACTTGGACTCTGCGACACGTCCTTTCCGAGACCGTCTTTATTCCGTAAAAACGGTAAATAACCGGTATTTGCATAAATACCGTATTTGTGACCCTACTCGACACCCAACGAAAGCCGCCCACGAGACGAGTGAGAGGCTTTGCCGGTATATTGTCAAGGCGCAAGAGAGAACTCGAGAACAACAGCGTCCACCAAGCACCCTCTGCTAATCGTTCGCTTTGCTAATCGTTCGCTCTGCTAATCGTTCCCTTTTACGGTTGCTAGTGATTTGATTACCACCCACCGATGTTGACCGAAGATTATGTCCCGACATCGGTGGCGCAGTCCAGTCAGATGTCCAGTGGTTTTCGGATGAACCCGTGTTTGTGGCCATTGCGAGTCGTGTCATCGCTGTACGCTATCCGTGTCTGCCGCGCCTTCTCGAGGGGTACATAATAGCCCGTTATAAGTATATGTACCCCTGGCCTTTCCGCCCTCACGCGACCGAGCTGGTATCCAAGGGCATCGCTGGATCGCTCTCGTTTGATGACTCGTACAGCAGGCACGGAAGAGTGCGTGTAAATTGCGCTGGGATAGTAATACCATGGGGCGAAAGCTACTTGCTCATTCCAGCGAGCTTGCGCACGCTACTGTAACTACGAGGCGATTGAAACCACTGCATTCGCTTTGGTTTGTACGACATGGCGGCGCGGCGCATATCAACGCGCAAGCCGCTTGTTGAAACAACAATCGACGACGTCCTCTGCCTGCAAGTTTTGCGGCCCGGGAACGACGGCCCGATCGACCATTATGCTACGGTTTCCAGCCTGCTCTGGGGAGAATCTCTCAAAGCCCCCGCAATGTGCCTCCTATTGTACCGCATCGATATCGTGTGGCGCTCGATGGTCCAGGATGTGCTGCTTCCACACGCCGCGCGCCCCTTGATGGACGCCCGGTACGGCTGGTACGTGTATTGTTATACCGTAATTTCAACAGCTTTAAGACTGTGATAGTACCCACGAGCCCGATGTAATCACAGATCTTATTGCACGTGTGTGCACAGGCGCGAGCTTGTTGTCGGGACGCAGAGGAAGAGCAAGCGCAGACGATTTCAGCATCTATCACGACCAGCAACCCATGGAGATGGATGTTATGCCTTCAAGTCGTTTTGAATCAAGTTGATACTTTGGGCAAGTCTCCACCTCGTACAATATATCTACTCGATTGGTGTTGCAAAGCTACATTCCAAATAGGGCTAGGGCTATAGCGCCGATGACCTCGCCGCCACCAGCAACAGCCAGCAGACTCGAAGCGTCGCGTGTCGGCTGAGACTCTTGAAGGATGTCGTCGATGGCTACTAGTATGCGTTGGACGGAGTCGCATCGTTGTCGTGTTCATTGTGTGGACCATAGACATATACATCGTCCACTTCCAGAGCAATAATGAGTTCTTTGTCAGTTTTTTTATATAGTAATATTGTACAAAATCGTCGGCACTAGGCGCTCAAATGTTGGCCAAGTGGGCGCGGACAGCATCTTCAACTGCGCTGCCCATAATTTTGCACATGCTTTCGGCGTACTGCAAGAGGCGGTCGCGCATCGTTTCGGCTGCGCGATCGTCGTCTGCGGTGGCATGAATCGGCGTCGAGATGGTCACCACCGCCGACAAGTAGCACTCCTTGTCGCCCATGTCGTGGATCGTCACCCTAATGCCACCATGCTCTCATGAGACATCGACGACACCGTCACTGCCTATTCTACCAGCCACGCGAATTTTCAACCCACGCGCCGTCAGCATGCGGGTGCGCTTGGTCTTCGAGGATGGCGCGCCACACGATGACGATGCGGTCGGCCTCGATATACCGCCGGTTCCCAAAACGCGAGTCGAGGTCGGGTAGCATGCTCGGGTGTTCGTCGCTTCTAAGGTCCCTAACCACAGTCGCATGTCCTTGTTAGACTTTCATACAATTGTGTCGTGTCGCACATGGACAGTACGCACCGGCCATACATCAAATTGGCATGAAACTCGCGCGTTGACGGGCAAGTAAAGTCCTTGCGCTTGCGCTTGAGGTCCCACACGACATGCGACATGGTGCGAAAGCTGAGGGGCATCACCGCGCAGTTGACAACGTGGACGTCGCAGGGGCCATCGAGCAGTCGGCTCGGCGTCGTTGAAATGCGCTGGAGGGGCTCGAAGCGCTCAATGACATCGAGCAGCCCATGGCGAATCCACTCGGACTCGAGCATCTCGCGCTGGTGCAGCAGCAACTTTTCGAGCTGCGCTTCTTGGTCGACCGCGCTTAAAATGCCCTGTTTCCAAAGCAACTCGTCGGTGATCGCGGATGCGAGCGTGGGGCGCTTGAGGCTGAGGCGCTCGATCGCGCGGAGCTTTTGTCGTTGATCATCGAGTGCAGCCTTGAGCCGCGCGTTCTCAACGAGTGCACGCTGCGCAAAATGGGCTTCGTTCATCGCGCGCAGCTTCCACGGGCCCGAGAGTGATGACATGCGCAGTTCGTGTTCGCGAAGGCCGTGGAGCTGCCGCTCGAGATGCGCAAACGACGTCATGAGGTACGCGACCTCCTCTTTCGGGTTGGGCCGCAGCCGCTTGGTACCGCGATGGATCTCGATCGGTGGTGACGGAGGCGGCGTCAACGACGCCTCGGCGAGAAAGGCAAGGAGGCTCTCGGACGATATCGAGCTTTCGACCAGCGTCATTGTCACGTCGTGTGGGCAAATGCAAACTGGCATGCGATCGACCACACATTTGCAGGCTCTTGTTGACAAGCGCCCAACGTGTTTAGGAGATACAGGCCAAGTCGTACGACTTGTTACGCTTCCGCCGAGTGAGCGTAATCGTTCGTTCGACGCCGGCGTTCCCTCGTTATGTGACAACTAGATTATTTTGCATCCCAAAAGGTATAGTGACAACAAGATATCTTCTTCACTGCCTCACCACTGTGTTGACGGTTGGACGCTGTGATGTCGTGAGAACAGTACGGGCATGACGGAGGCTGTCTGGAGGCGCCATACCCCTGACCTTTTGACGTGGGAAACGTCATCTGGAAGAAGGAGGAAAAGACTTGTTGCAATGCATGCACTACGATGCTTCGTAGGCGTTGTCATCGCGTCCTGACGATTACGGCGCGTTGCAAAGATCATGTTTAAATATGAAAAAGGAGTCTGGCGCGCACGATTAATAGCACGACCACTCGACTCGGCACTACATTCCACGAAGTACGCCACGAAGACGGCGTGTCGGGCGATTGCGAGACGCACTGGAAACCAATGATCGCCGGCATGTGCGAAAACTGCGTGGGAAAATCTGGAGTTGTGGGTGGGAGCCCTAGCATCTCGTTTGATTGTCTCTCTGATTTTGGACGTGTACGCGGTCAACACATCAGCAGCGCCGCCACAATTGGTGCGCGGTAGCCAAAGTCGCGAGAACAGAATGGTGCATTGTACTGATTGATTGTATTGGGACAATACGGTGCATCGCGCACATCTAAACCTAAACGCAAGCGAAACTAGACTGTCTTCAGCGACAAAACACAAGTGTTTGATGTACAGTACTATCCCTTCGACGCGTTCCATACCTTCTCTGCACGAACGGAGGATGGTACCACCGAGATGCTCCAAACGACCCGCATGGCCTCCATGGCAGACCGCAAATACCTCTGTGATTCGGTGGTAGCCTTGGAAAGGGAGGTGGCGATACAGGTCATGAGTGGCCGACGATCGTGCCTTGTATTACATAATGGCCATCGTGACTGGATGACGTCACGACGTCACCACGCGTTGCGCAGCTTGATGGACAAAGGCCGTGACTTGATCGCGGTTGTCTTGCGTGATTTTCAAGAGAAGCTCGGTGAGAAGGCCCACGTCGTCGTCGTCGCGTCGCGCGGACGACGAGAGCGGCGCCGTCATGCTCAAAAACACAGCAAAGTAGCTTGCGTCGGGTCCTCGGGGATACGCTACCGCCCTACCCCATCGGTGGTTGGTACCAGCCGCAGACATGACAAGGCCGTGTACCAGCCCCACGCATTCTCGATCAAGTGTGAGGCGTCGTGTGGCTTGTGTGCATCGCAAACGATCGAGCGCCATGCAATGACCGTTCGGTCTTCCTGGACCCACCGGCGGCACGCCAAGCGCGACTCGAGCGTTGGCCGAGACGGCAGCTCCAGTATCGAGTCTTGCCTAGTCGATACTCTTTTCAACAGAAAGCACGGGAACAGGCAGCGCACCTTGTGTAGGCGAGATCGGCATGAAAGGTCTCGGCGTCCTATATGCACGACGCGATGAGCGACCTGACTGTGCGCAAGGGGTGGCAGACGTGGCCAGGTGGCGGCGACCGCTGCGTGAGATGCGTCCAAAGCACCGACGTCATCGTATCGCACGGTAGCGCATACGGCTCGCAGCGCAGAAACCGAAGGAGGACGGTATCCGCAACCGGCTCCAAGTGCGAGCTCTGCAGCATTGCGTTCGTGTCAATCGCATCGTAGACGCGGTGGCGAACCCATTCGGACTCAAGCTTCTCAAGCTGGCGCTGCAAAAGCACCTCGAGAGCGGCCTCGCGGTCAACTGCGTCCAAAACGGCGTCTTGCTGCAGCACTCCATGTGGCGCGACCTTGGTGCGCTTGGCCGCCATGAATTCGTCCTCGAGCGCTTGCAGCTGCTGCAGCTGCTGCTGTACAGCGTCCTGGAGCTGCGCACGTTCTTGCAGTGCGCGGTGCGCGCCCATGGCCTGGTCGTAGGCGCGCCGCTGCCAAATGGCGTCGCGCGGAATCGCTGCTATGCGGCCTTGGAGCTGCGCTAGCTCGTTTGTGAGCTCGACCTGCTTGGCCCGCAAGTAGTCGAGCTCCGACTTGAGCGTCTTGCGCTTCCGTCTAGGGCGAATAGGATCGGCGCCAGCTAAAGACGCAAGGAACGCGCTGTCGTCGGCCGAGACGTCGAGGAAGCGCCAGACGTCGGTGCTGTCGTGTGGCACGCCTGTATCCATTCTCTGGAAATCGATATTGTATTGATGGTGGAAGGTATCCGAGGTCTATTTTTAGAACGCTCGAGGAAAGGCCACATTGCACTTGCTATAATAGAAAGGGCAGCATGCGAACCTTTGACGCTCAACAAGCGCCGGGGCTATGGTCGACTTGGCAGAGA